TTTAAACAACAGTTTATGTACCAGAACGTCTCTTGTACTGGGTTAAAACGGTCTACAACCCGCGCGTCCCCAACCACGAGGAGGTAAAAACTCGTAATAGAATGGTTGGTTTGTTGTATCCGTTGTCTGGCCTTGGCTGTCTGGGATCTGCTCTTGCGCGCTGATGTTAGATCGCTGGTTTAATACTTCTTTCAGAGACGGGAGTTGCATGGTTGATGTTGGGAGTGTATGAAGCGGTGATGTGTTTGTCACAAGATATTTTGTAAAAGTTATTTCTGGATCCGATCGGGGCGCTGGATTGTTCATGTCGACTCTATCGGCGAAGGTGGGGTCCCGAGCCGTACCAGACAATCCGTGGTTCTTCTTGAAGAATGAACAGCGGCTTCGGCATCGTCGTATGAATCATAGACATTCTCCGGTAGCGGGGAAATACTGAAGGAAGTTGAAGTACTTGCAGGTGTCGCCATTATAGGAGAATGGCATTTAACACCAGCAACAACTGCCCGAGTTTTAATGTTAATTTTGGTACTCTAGGCCATATATAGTCTGTCTATTTTAGTCATGTTTGTGAGATCTATTTTTAATTAATTCCTACCTATCGAACTTTTTATATATTACTTACACCTCGATCTCCGTAACCTCGATCTCCATAGTTTTTCCCGTAGCCACGTGCCTCGTCAAACTCGTAGTGTTTAAAAAGTTCCTGTCGTCGCCAAACGCGTATAGCGCCATCCAAGCTGACTCAGTAGGCCTACCAAGGCACCGTACCGTCAGGTAGTGCTGCAAGCGCATTGCCACCTTCCAGGTCTCTTCAATCAGGAGCTGGAAGACCTCCTGCTGAGCTTCCGCAACCTCCTTGTCGTGGTTGGTGACCGCTTCGTCCAAACACAGCAACAGCGTAGTAGACACAATATCGCCATCCATTCTTGATCCGAGTTTTGCGCCAAACTACTACTGACTGAAAGTGGAAAGATCCACAAAGGCATTGTCCTGTTAGACGTGGTGGGTACACTGCAAATCTCAGTCGTGTAGTGTAGAAATAGGGACACTTACGTCGGGACAGACTTAACTGGAATAATACATTTGTGGTAGACGCTAGCGCTGGTATATCTTGTCTAAGTCGAGTTTATCGACTGCAGATATGGCGGGTGCTTACACTTTTTTTGGTAGACGTCCAGTGGCTGAGTATACGTTTGGGACCGTACTGTTGCAGTTGAAGTATACGTCCAATAGTGTTTAGTCTCAGGCTTAACGAAAGGGGTTTTTCACCCTTCGGGTTTCCTCCTTAATCCCAAAAGTACTCAGTGGGAAGACGCTGCTTGATTGCATTCTGTCTACTAAACTGCTGCTTGCCTCGCCGATTATCTGCGCTACGTGCCAGATTATGAACCCAAGACTTCGAAGCTTTACAGAGTACAATCTTGGAGCTTCGTGGGTATATAATGGCTACATCAAATGTGGCGTCGTCAGTTGCTGGTAGTTCGGTGGCCATGACTGCCAGTGCTGGTCTCGGTGCGTCTTCTGGAGTGAGTACGGCGACGTCTGGTGCTGTCCTTTCCGGTATTGAAGTGAGTGGAGTGATCGTGAGCTCTATGGCTTCTGCAGTGACCTCAGTTGGTTTGGGTGGATACACTGGTGATCCAAGAAACGTAAATCTTGGATCGGCTGGAAGTGGATCAGCGCCGAAGGGTGGAGTGAATGTTGCTGTAGGTGCTGGCGCTGTAGCATCGCCTCCGTCAGTGTGGGCTCCACCGATGGCAGCAGTCTCAGCGTGGCCAACGGTCCCATCGTTGGGATCAGCAGCATTTGGATCGGCAATATCAGGAGCTGGAGGATTTGCAGCAGCACCGATGATGACCCCACAGTTTTCCGGTGGTGCATTTGGGATGAAACTAGATAATAAACCTTCAGTAATGCATGGAAGCTTCGACTTATATGCAGTTGAGTTGGAGACTTTCTTGAGGCGCGTGAATGTTTGGAGTGGGATCGAAGATCCAATTGGTGCACGATCTTCGACAAGTGACACTCAGTTTGCTATGATGGATAATATTGCTC